ATATTCAATGCGCAATGGTAACGGTCATTGTAATGGTTTTTTGGCTCTCACCTCACCACAGGCTATTCAAAGTTTAAACTTTTCTTTTTTCCTTTGTCCATTGTCGTAGGCACTCCACACAACGAACCTTTTGGGTAACCCAAGCATGGTTGCTGTTGTGAATTTTGAAGTAAGCTAGATATGCTTACTTGACAAAGTCAATGATGTTCTTACTGATAGTTTCAAGAATGTAATCATTACAGAAGTCATCAGCCTCTTTTAAACAACCTATTCATGAAGAACTCTTTATTTCAACATAGATTAAGGGTTGTTCAAGTAACCTCTTAGCATAGAACTTCTATACTCACAAAAGTAAAAAAAAGGAAATATGTAAAAATTCAATGAAAAATGAAAACAAAATATAATCTTGACTGCTATGATGCTACAGAAGAAAGAAGCAACAAAGCAACACTAGAAATAAAGATAGGTGTCATCAGAGAAAGGAAGTACACGGTACGATCAAGAAGTAGTGGGAATAATTTTATTAAAAATAATTTATTGCACATATCTGTACAAATTCTTAATAATCTTTGAAGTAGGATCCTTGTGCTTAGACACACTGAGTATAACAGGTCTGCCAATTTGCAAATGCCTTTTGGAAGAGACTGGCTGAATACTGTTGAGTCCTCATTACAGCTGCTTGGATATCTTTGATGAAGCCATGATGCCTTCATGGGCCGTTTCAGGAGGAGAAGAGGGGAAAGTCAGGCCACATCTGGTCTGTGTGTGTGTGTGTGTGTGTGTGTGGGAGGGGGGGGAGGAGTCAGTGATTTGTTACTGAGTCAGCTGCTCCCACACTAACAGCGTGATGTGGCACGGCACGGTCTGTCTGGCAGGGTGTAACTTCCAGGAATGGGCGATGCCTGGTTGCACATTGTTGACTCGTTTTCACAAGCCATCACGTACTTGTACATACAACGGTGCGTTCACGGTTTGCCCAGGGGATACAAACTCCTTGTGGATGACATCACAATAATCAAAAAACACCAGAAGAGATCAGAGCCCAGAAGTTGTTTCACTTTTGTCACAGTTTCGTCGACCCTTCCTGTTGTCGGGTGACGGTACATTGGTCATCCTTGATGAGCTTCCTTCCCGAACAACTTGTCTCTTAAAAAGCTTTAAGTGGCTCATGGGAGCGAGCATCTGCGTAGGCTTGCTTTATCACATCAAAGGTTTCAATGGCAGTTGTTCCGAGTTAGAAGCAAAAATTCACGCTGTAGCGCATCTCGAGTTTCCATTCCATGCTGAGCATGACAACACTTCTTAACAGTGTAACACAGGAAACAGGGTGCTCACACCTCAAAGGCATGCAGGCAACTGCGGAGGGTCACGTTCTTTTCATGAGGCACCCCGCTAACATGCCCAATCAGTGGAACTCTCCTCTGTGAGTTTGTCTGGTGTGCAGAAAATCAGTTCTACTACTTGATCGCACAATGTATATAAAGCAACACATTTTTGAAGAAATCCTTGTACTTGATAAACTAGGGCCAATTTGAAAAAACAGATAGATTTGGATTGAGGATCACTGAAACATTTCATATTCATTACAATACCGCTGTCAAATTGAAAACGTACCATTTTACTTCCCAGTGTAATTTGTATGCTCAGAAAGCATTTCTTTATTGAGTAAAGAGATTGAGGAAAATTTAATATTTTGATTTTATGTATTGTGTTGCAAGTCACTTTTGGAAAGAAACTGTGAAATTATTATCGTATGGATCTGTGTATCTCCTGGTTATCTTGTGCAGAGAAGTACAAGAGCATCATTGGGTTTGAATGCGTATTTTTCTTAATTGAATATGTTGAAAATGAAGTAATAAATAGTTTCAGTATTGAATGATTAGATTATTTTAATATTTTTTTGTTTATATCAGCTGTTATTGAACATCCTTTGATGTATTATGTTTCAGGTGATTGATGCCTGTGCTTTCCGAGTGTATGGTCACTGGGTGAAGAAGGGAGAAGGTCAGAATCGTGCTGCCTTGTTTGAGAATACACCCAAAACAGAGCTGAAGCAGATTTATGTGAGCAACTTGAGTCGATAGCAGCATGTCTGCTCAGACACACTTGTGCCTCTGTTTGAACCTCCTTCAGTCCTTGTATGCATTTGGCTACTGCTCTGAGGTAGGAAGCTTTTTCTGGGAGCTTCTACTTCACATTTAGTGTGAGGCAAGGGCCTCCAAATGATGTCAAGAAAATACTACAATCATCACTTGAAATGGAGTTGTAGACCTGGGAAATTTATTTTAACATTTATTTTGAGACACGAGTTCCCACCTGAAACTGCAATGAAGAGATCTAGATTTGAATGATCAATTACTTATCATGTAAGTTTCCAGCATGTGTCATTATTGGAATGCAGTAGCATATTAGATATTGCGAAACCCTTGCTGTTGACTGGATGTCTGGGATTTAAATCATGAAAAGTGTTCCCCTCCTTTTATCATCCATAGTAAGTCAAATGCAACTATTCAAGGAGTATCAGACTCTTCTTGCAGTTAAGGTGATCAAGGCATGAAGCTGCAAATCACAAGAGCATCTTCCAAGGAGTTTGGCAATTGCTGCATGGTCATTTTTGCTCTGAATTTTGAGATCAACATCTCTTTCCTTGTGGTTTATTGTACAAAGGAATCACGTGAACTGCATATTTAATACATTTTTGGGGCAATACTGAAAGAAGAAATTTAACTTTGTTTTGTCCTCTTTTTGGAGGAAAGTATTTTTTTCAATATTGGTCTTCCTGTTTCACTTTTCATGTACGAAATTAAAATAAATTTTGAATGATGAATATGATGAAAAAATCTGTAGTTTGGAGGCTCTTGTTTAAATATTGTAGGTGCTGCAGATTTTGGTCAGACACTCTGATAGTGATTCTGTTGCTGTGATTTTTATTTCTTTTATTAATTCTCAGTGTCACCAATTCTGCATGTATTGATTCATAACTCCACAGTCTTGCAAAATAGTTATTATGATTTGTTATCGAATGCTAGAAAGTTATAGGAAATACATCACTGGAGGTTATTATTTCCAGAGTGAAGAAAGACCATGACCTATTGTAGTAGCAAATAGCTTCAATTTTAATTTTTTATGTAGCTGTTCACACTAGAATGCCTGAATAACTTATTATACAATACTTCCAAGTTTACCAGGAATAACTAAGGGACATTAAAATTATTGATTGAAATTACAGTTAGTTGTGCGAATTAACAAATATTTTATATTTTTTGTTTTGAAAATATATTTTTGCTGCTCTGCTGGGCCTCATAACAATCCATAATGGGTTGTATACTCCCACTGAGACAATAATTTATTCCTTTTTCGCGAACGTTCTTTTATTATATGAATTTATTTATTTTCCTCTTGGTGCTACTTTCCATACTAAGTATTTGTACAATAAATATATCAGTTCTGGAACCTGTTTTGGGAGTTATAAGAATATAAGTAAGCCAATACTACACTTGCAATATTTTACTAGCGAAATTACAGGATATTTTGGGAATGTCTTGAAGAAAAGTGAAGGGTGTTCTACTGAAATAAATGGTCAAAGAATGTAAAGACTTGGAAATACGAATCCTAAAATCAGCCCATGACTACATGTAAAGAAAGAAATTTCTTGTTGCATATCTTCCCATTTTTCAAAAATTCTGGCAGTATGTAACGGAATATTTTGGTCTTCTCAGTTGTTTTCATTGTATTTGTGATTTAAATTTTTATTTGTGAAAGTAATATTTTCGCTTACGTATCTATTTTCTGGGAAGACTTTCAATTGCAGTTACAGTTGGTTGCCTAGTGTAACTTGTACATCTTACGTATATACTACTATTCCTTTCTACTAATTCATTATTTTCTCCTGCAAGATAAAATGTATAAATTAGTTGTTCCATTAGTCCAAAATTATCATTGCAATGTACTCTTGTTCTTTCTCCAGAAGTACAGAAGGATGGAGTTTAACCGCTTTCATTCTTTGTTTTAATACAGTTCTGGATGAATGTTAATTGCTAGTTTTGTTGTTGCATATTTAACTTTGGTAAGTTTGGAGTTTCAAGAAACTTTTAAAATAATGAGCAAATTACAATTCATGCGTTTCTATAGTTTTAACAGAAAGTAAAATTGTTTGTCAGCACTCATATTGAGTAAAGTAAGGGGTTCAAAGCGTAAGAGGAATAAGTGCATTTTTGGCAAATTTTATGTTGAGAGCACAACTGTAAAGTAAATACTTAATTTTATTTCCTGAACAAATGGTATTCCTATTGACTGTAGTTTTTTACAGTCACCCAACTTTGAACTGGATTTTCTTAATACCACATTTAGGGCACTTTTAGCCTTTGTGCTCTAAGCCCCTTTAATGATGTTCATTCAAATTGACAATTAAGAACTGGAGGCTGAGGCTTAGTGGTCAGAGCTTTTTCAATCAATTTTTACAAAGAAAATAAAGGGTTTTAGTACAGTAACTAATTTCAATCAATGGGATGGTTCTTCATTATGAACACATTACCACTTAATTAATTAAACTGTGGAAAGAACAGTGGTGCAAAAATTGAAATCTAAAATGCCCTGGCATACAGCATTCCTTGAATTTTCAACTTCTGATAGAATTTTTAATTGAAAGTTGCCCAAAGGGTTTTATAAATGTATATATGGCAATCTGTAGGACATGCAATGATGTATTTATAAGGTTTTAATTTTGGCTTGATTAGTTTCTATGGCATAAATAAAATGTTTGAATTTCACCCTATTTTCCTGCGTGTGAAGAGGTTTTTTGTTCACAAAGACTTCAATTTTTTTCCCCTGCAGTTTAGTTTATTTTTGCTGTCTGTAAAAATGCCATCCTCTTTTTGTCTTGACATGTTTCTTTTCATGGCAATATCCTAATTCTTCCCAGTTTTTGTTTGCACAGTAATTTACTTCATCTATATTTCTTATGAAATGCACTAAAAAGAAGCTCTCCTCCATCATGTAATTTAATGTTATACAGTTAATTCTTTTTCACATTTGAAGCACAGAAATTCATGTCACATGTGTAAATCTTATTCATCAACATTAAGATACTTATGATTGGCATTTTACACAAAAAAATCAGTTCCAAACATTGTCTGACATTCTCAGTATCTTGATATTTGGGATAAAAATGGATTTCATGGGGATGATTTTACTCCATTCACTTTGTATCAATTTTGCCTCCAAAATGCACTTAATGTTTACAAAATTGAAAATGTTAACAACAGTGTGTTAAGACGGCCACAATTATTCAAAATCTGTATTTTCATTTACCTGAAACTTTTAATAGTAACAAGCATGTTGAAATTTTAACAAGGACAAGTGTGGAATTAAATGAACCAAACTCTTTCACTCATCTGATGTAGCTTTAACGCTATCGTTTTCAGAATTACCTGGCAGACAGAAATAACACGTGACCACTTGGTCTCAGTTTCCCTTATAAATTTCTTAATATAATATTAATCTTTCTTCATGAAAAAATTCAAAGCACAAAAATAATTATAATTACAGCAATAATTTGGTAAGAAAATAAATGTTAGTTTCCTACCACTTTACATTTACAAATAAGTGAAATGGAACCCATTCACGATCACGAATACAACGTTAAAGAATACTCAGGGAACATCTTCATGACTCTTGTAGTGAGCATGGAGAATGGTGCTTTGAATGGTGTCTGTTTAGCTTCTGCAAAATCATGACAAGCATTAGAATTAGAAATATTAAATAAAGTGCAATAAATATGATTAAGGAATAACAGACAAATTCGCTCAGGAAACTTCCTCTGTATGTTCTTTCCACTCATGGTACATGGCAAAAAAAAAAATTTTATATATAT